CTGCCGTCAGAATGTTCAATAAAGGGACGGGTCATCAGTTGGAGTACTCGGATGCCAGACTAAATAAAAAGGACGTTATCAAAGTCGATGAAAACAGTTTCAATTCCCAAGCTACCGTGCCATGTACTCAGTATTAACGCTTTGCTACCACGGGGTCAAACCAGAGCTTTGTTAGGAGAGGATATTGGAATGACAAGCGGGGATTTTATTGTCTTTCTCCGCCATTTGATGTGTGATAAGGCCGATCAATACTACTCCACGACAATGTTTCTAGCTGTAGCCGACGATGATTAGGTGGTCGGTATCGATAACATCCAATATTTGTCTTGTGACAAAATAAACACTACAATGACATGGCAAATGAAATCGGGATCGAGTGTGCCGGAATTTCATTAAATCCATAAGTCGATTGGACGCAGCTTAGATAACCTGTAGAACTACACTACATGCGTGTGTCAATGTCTATAAGTAGTAGTTACACAAACCTGTAAGAAAAGGTATGTGATAGCCTTGTGGCGGGTCCTAATCACAACAAAAAGAGTTATATATATAAGTACAGGTGTTTATTCGTATTGCCCCTCTCCCCACCGCCTTCCATTAAAAAAATCGGACTCAAGCAAGATTCTTTCTAGTTCTACATGCTATTGTTCCTGTTCCGCTGTACGTTTTTGTTAAGGGGGAGGGGCGAATAGATTTAAGTACCTGTGTGTAACCAAGGGCGTAGCTAGGCCTCTATTAACGTGGATTCATAACTGTGCTAGGGGGTCCGGGGGCCTGGCCCCCTGGACATTTTTAAAAACAATGGTGCAATCTGGTGCATTCTGGGCATTCTGAGGTGCTTTATTTAGTACTCGAAAATGGAAAGTTTTAGGATCTTAAATCAACAAATAAACCCTTTACTCGGCATATTTTTTCTCTTAAATAGAGCTAAAATAGCAAACAAATACGAGCCCCGATTATGTTAATAATACCCAGATTATCTAACAGAAGTATAATTTTCTGTCCTTTTTGCCAGCGAACTCACTGTATTATTATATTTTCAATGTCAATGTCCATTTGTCTAACTATGCAACATTGCTCGTCCAGACAGACGTTCAGTGGACATAGTGGAACTCATGTAGTTTTTCACCCTTCTCATGATACTGAACTGCCTCTCAGTTGAGACTGTTGAGACCGGCATGGTAATAAGCCACACTACCAGACTTATGTAAATGTTGCACTAAGGTCAGAAGGCTTTGTTTCTTCCAAAGACCGGGCAACTTTCGAATTCACGTCTGAAGCTTTCACGATCTCCACTAAAGTCGTCATGAAATGCATCAAATATGGCATCTTCTTGAGCAGGTGTCTTCAATGGCTATTTAGTATAGAAACGACAAGGAACGTTTGATATAAGCATGCAGTCAAGTACGCATAAGACAACTTTAGCTGAATTTTTGTTTGTTTGTCAGAATCATGTGGATTCAACTGCGTACTCGCGTATAGGCAGTTACGCGCCTGGTAACGGTAACGGTGTAAGTAACCACTGCAACCATCACCTTAAAAACTCAACTTGTGAATTGTTTCAGAGTAATCTCCCTTATGTATAATGCCTGACCATTCAGACTTAACTAAGTATTACTAATTTATTCGTCGAGGCCAAATTGAACCTCCATCAAATATGTTTTATGGGCATTTTAGTATGAACATATTTTGAATGGGAGACACATTGTCCCGATCAGATACGATACATCCTTAAGCTTGAATGACCCATCGACATTCAAGCAGAGCAGAAGGAGGCATATTGAAGGAGAAAATATCATGATTAAGTTACCTTGAAGGAGAAAATATCATCGATTAAGTTATTGGCTAAGTTCAATTATTTGTATCTTACACCAAACCTGACCTAGCATGCTTTATGGTTGGCAGCACATGTCAAGCATATTTTCTTAATCATTCGTGTTTTCTCGTCGTGTTTTCTCAGAAAAAGTTGCATTTTTACCGATAACTTAAACTGCCGACTGCGTCAATGGAAGTCAGTTTTGAGTTTCTGTTCGTATTCGTCAACAGTCTTAGTGATGGTTCAGTTGTGTTTTATTATCTGTCTTTGTCAAAAGTGTAAGTGATTTTAATAACTGTAGTCAATGTTAAACGGTCGAACCAATCTATACACACGAAGTCTCCCTGGGGATATGTTTTTATATAAAACAATCACTGATGAAGATCTTAGGAAAAATTAGTTACAAATATGTTCCCAAGCAACCATTAACGATCCGTAAACTATCTTAAAGTAGCTAAGACTCTGAGAGAGTCACCAATAGATATCCCCAAGAAGACCCCGTCCCTTTATCCGTATCTATATAATAGATATCCCCAATAAGGCCCCTTCCCTTAATCCGTATCCCTATAATAGAAATCCCCAATAAGACCCCTTCCCTTAATCCGTATCCCTATAATAGTTATCCAAATAAGGTCCCTTCTCTTAATCCGTATTCAATAATAGATATCCTCAATAAGGCCCATTCCCTTAATTCGTATCCCTGTAATAGATATCCCTATAAGGCCCCTTTCCTTAATCCGTATATCTACAATAGATACCCCAATAAGGCCCCGTCCCTTAATCCGTATCCGTTTAATATATATCCCAAATAAGGCCCCGTCCCTTAATCCGTATCCCTATAATATATATCCCAATACGACCCCTTCCCTTAATCCGTATCCCTATAAAAAATATCCAAATAAGGCCCCTTCCCTTAATCCGTATCTCTATATTAGATATCCTCAATAAAGCCCCTTCCCTTAATCCGTATTATCCCCAATAAGGCCCCTTCCCTTAACCCACATTCCTTTAAAAGATATCCCAATAAGGCCCCTTTCCTTAATCCGTATCCCTTTAATAGATATCCCAAATACGGCCCCTTCCCTTCATCTGTGTAGATCCCAATAAGATCCCTTCCTTTAATCCGTATCTCTATAATATATATCACCAATAAGGCCCTTCCCTTAATCCGTATCTCTATAATATATATCACCAATAAGGCCCCTTCCCAAATCCGTATCTCTATAAAAGAAATCCCCAATAAGACCCCTTCCCTTAATCCGTATCCCTTTAATAGTTATCCAAATAAGGTCCCTTCTCTTAATCCGTATTCAATAATAGATATCCTCAATAAGGCCCATTCCCTTAATTCGTATCCCTATAATGGATATCCCTATAAGGCCCCTTTCCTTAATCCGTATATCTACAATAGATACCCCAATAAGGCCCCGTCCCTTAATCCGTATCCGTTTAATATATATCCCAAATAAGACCCGTCCCTTAATCCGTATCCCTATAATATATATCCCAATACGACCCCTTCCCTTAATCCGTACCCCTATAAAAAATATCCAAATAAGGCCCCTTCCCTTAATCCGTATCTCTATATTAGATATCCTCAATAAAGCCCCTTCCCTTAATCCGTATTATCCCCAATGAGGCCCCTTCCCTAAACCCGCATTCCTTTAAAAGATATCCCAATAAGGCCCCTTTCCTTAATCCGTATCCCTTTAATAGATATCCCAAATACGGCCCCTTCCCTTCATCTGTGTAGATCCCAATAAGATCCCTTCCTTTAATCCGTATCTCTATAATATATATCACCAATAAGGCCCTTCCCTTAATCCGTATCTCTATAATATATATCACCAATAAGGCCCCTTCCCTTAATCCGTATCTCTATAATAATTATCTCAATAAGGCCCTTCCCTTAATCTGTATCTCAATAATATATATCTCAATAAGGCCCCTTCCCTTAATCTGTATCTCAATAATGGATATCCTGATAAGATCCCTTTCCTAAATCCATATCTCTATAATGTATATCCCCAATAAGGCCCCTTCCCTTAATCCGTATCTCTATAATACTTATCTCAATAAGGCCCCTTCCCTTAACCTGTATCTCAATAAGGCCCCTTCCCTCAATCCGTATCTCTATAATATATATCCCCAATAAGGCCCCTTCCCTTAATCCGTATCTCTATAATACTTATCTCAATAAGGCCCCTTCCCTTAATCTGTATCTCAATAATATATATCTCAATAAGGGCCCTTCCCTTAATCCGTATCTCAATAATAGATGTTCCCAATAAGGGCCCTTCCCTTAATCCGTATCCCTATAATATATATTCCAATAAGTCCCCTTCCCTTAATCCGTATCCCTATAAAAAAATATCCAAATAAGGCCCCTTCCCTTAATCCGTATCTCTATATTAGATATCCTCAATAAAGCCCCTTCCCTTAATCCGTATTATCCCCAATAAGGCCCCTTCCCTAAACCCGCATTCCTTTAAAAGATATCCCAATAAGGCCCCTTTCATTAATCCGTATCCCTATAATAGATATCCCAAATACGGCCCCTTCCCTTCATCTGTGTAGATCCCAATAAGATCCCTTCCTTTAATCCGTATCTCTATAATATATATCACCAATAAGGCCCTTCCCTTAATCCGTATCTCTATAATATATATCACCAATAAGGCCCCTTCCCTTAATCCGTATCTCTATAATAATTATCTCAATATGGCCCTTCCCTTAATCTGTATCTCAATAATATATATCCCCAATAAGGCCCCTTCCCTTAATCCGTATCTCTATAATATATATCCCCAATAAGGACCCTTCCCTTAATCCGTATCTCTATAATAATTATCTCAATAAGGCCCCTTCCCTTAATCTGTATCTCAATAAGGCCCCTTCCCTTAATCCGTATCTCTATAATATATATCCCCAATAAGGCCCCTTCCCTTAATCCGTATCTCTATAATAATTATCTCAATAAGGCCCCTTCCCTTAATCTGTATCTCAATAATATATATCTCAATAAGGGCCCTTCCCTTAATCCGTATCTCAATAATAGATGTTCCCAATAAGGGCTCTTCCCTTAATCCGTATCCCTATAATATATATTCCAATAAGTCCCCTTCCCTTAAACCGTATCCCTATAATAGATATATCCAAAATAATACAGGCCCTAAAATCATACCTGCTCCCTCGTGGGCGGATACACAGGAGCTGTGCTGCTCCATAACGAGGTTAGTATTTGATGTGCTGACATAGACGAAGCAGAAACCGACCGCTGTGACGTCCATCGGAAACAAATCACACTTGAACACAACGTAGGTCTGATCGGGATGAGCGCGTCTTTCCGTCACATAGACCCGCTTCAGGGGGGCCGCTAGTGACCCGGATATGTCACGGCGTAAAACGTACATTCGTATTTTATCCTGCATACCTGAACATTGCGGGTGTTCATACAGCACTATTAGGTGACCTTGACATGGATGAACACTAGAGGAGGATATCCGAACGTCATATACGTCACTCCATTGGACGTCCATAACGTTGCTCTTAGCAATGGTCAAGTTTTTGTTGTAACTGTTGCGTAATATAGCCCTGTAGCTGCCTTTGAAATCAAAATTATCACAGGAGTATGTTATATTTGTAATCGCCTGGGATATATCCATTACCGGTTCCGAATAGAGAACTCTTGGCGCCGTGTCATAATACGAGGGGTCGAATTGACTTTCCGGCTTGTATTCTAAATCTATCTGGAAAGAATACCGCTGTAGCAGAGGCGCACACCTAGCTTCCGAGGTGTACCGAAGTTTCACTTCCGTTGTCTGAGCGACATGTCTTTTGGGAAGGTATAAATGGAAATCCGGCCACTTCACGGTAAATTCCTTTGAAGTCAATAACGGTCCGTCTAGATACATAAACATTTCTAGAAGATGGCGACCGGCAGCCTCTATCAAACCGCACGTGACACGACCAATTCCTGTGGCCTGTCCTACGAAGAGTTTGATGGTGGTGATCTCCCGTCGTCCTTTGTTGGTGTGGGCAAGTACCCGTATGAAGGCGTTGGGCATGGACACATTGATGGGGACGGTGTAGGTTATGGTGAGATCCCCCATGAAGGCGACATAATCCTCGGGAACTGAAACCCGGTATTGGGACCCTAGGAACACAAAAAAATGGTTAGAAAACAATCGACTAGAAAAACGTATTTTCTTTCAAAGATTTTTTTTCGTAAATATAAATTAAACACTCGCATAATGACGGAGGCATAAAAAAGGATCTCTCCATTAATATCTTCATCATGTCAAACTTTGCACTCATAAAAACGGATCTCTAACATTAATACAATTTAGGGAACTCACAACGAACCAAATATAGCGTGCGCACATCTTGCATACATCGTGCATACACCGTCCGCGCATGGTGCGCACAACTGTGCGATTTAACAATCGTTCGCCCTGTTGTGCGCTTCTCTCCGCACAAATGTGCGATTCGTTAGAATTGGTTGACCAATATTACGGAATGATAAAAAAATCGTAGCCCTCGTATGGAATAAAGAACACTGTATATATTAATTGCTCATCAAATTAATTAGGATTATGTTTAATTGTACAATGCGTGCAAGAATGGATTAAGCTCCCAAGTAACAGAACAGGTAAATTACATTTTGATGATTGACCGGAGTTTTACCTGGCCTGTGCCTGACAAAGAGAGCTGATATGTGATACCGTATGACCGTTATGAAAACACAACTTGGCGTTAAGTATTTGTTATTTGCATCCGTTTTGGTCTATATCATCCCTTCACCTGGATGTTTACACATAGGCGGGTGACGTAAGTGCCCCGGGTGGGGGAAACTACCGTCCAGGTACAGGTAAAAATTGGCTATGTTTATCTGTATACGTGACCGTGTCAATACATGTATGTGTTATTTTACATGTGTCGATTTGGATCGTTTAGAAAACACCGAAAAACATCATTTATAAATTTAAGAAAATACAGATAGAATGATCAGCTTTTATAGTTATATATATAAAGCTAGAATACAGAAATATACTTAAAAATCAAGTTTATATGTTTAGACACGAAGCCGTATTTATTGTTTAGCCATTTCTCAATTTACACCAACCACGATTGTCATCGCACAACATTCGTCCATCGTTTGCACAAATGAGCGCAAGTAATTATCGTCCAGACTTTAATCGTTCGCACACCGTGCACTCTCCGTGCGCAAAACGCGCGCACACCGCACATCGTGTAACGTGGTGCGTTCCCACAACTATATCTTCATCACGTCATACTTTACATATATAAAAAGGATCTCTCCAATAATATCCTCATACTTTACACCCATTAAAAAGATCTTTCCATTAATAATTTCAACAAGTCAAACTTTACACTCATGAAAAAGTATTTCGCCATTAATATGTTCATCATATCAAACTTTACACTCATAACAAAGGATCTCTCAATTAATATATTCATACTTTACGCCCATTAAAAGGATCTCTCCATTAATATCTTCATCCCATCATACTTTATACTCATAAAAAATGATCTCTCCATTAATATCTTCATCACGTCAAACTTAACACTCATAAAAGGATCTCTCCATTAATTTCTTCATCACGTCAAACTCCACATCGACAAAAAGGATTTCTCCAATAATAACCTCATACTTAACACCAATTAAAGGGATCTCTCCATTAATATCTTCATCATGACATACTTTACACTCATAAAAAAGGATATCTCCATTAAATTCTACATCACATCATACTTAACACACATAAAGAGAATCTCTCCATTAAAATCTTCATCGCATCATACTTTACATCCGTAAAAAGTTATCTCTTCATTAAAATCTTCATCACGTCATACTTATTACACTCATGAAGAGCATCTCTCCATTAATTTCTCCATCACATCGTACATGTACTGTACACCCATAAAGAGGATCTCTCCATTGATATCTCCATCACCTCATTCTTTACATCCATAAAAAGAAACTCTCCATTAATATCTTCATCACGTCATACTCTACATCCATAAAAAGAAACTCTCTATTAAAATCTTCATCACGTCATACTTTACACTCATAAAGAGGATCACTTCATTAATATCTCCATCATATCAAACTTTACATCCATAAAAAGGGTCCTCCAGCAATATCTTCATCACATCATACTTTACATCCATGAAAAAGGATCTCTCCATTTAAATCTTCATCACGTCATACTTTACATTCATAAAGAGGATCACTCCACTAATATCTTCATCACGTCATTCTTTACATCCATAAAAAGGGTCCTCCATTAATATCTTCATCACGTCATACTTAACACTCATAAAAAGGATCCCTCCATTAATATCTTCATCACATTATACTTTACATTCATTGGAAGGAACTTTCTATTAAGATCTTCATCACGTCATACTTTACATCGATTAAAAGTATTTCTCCATTAATATCTTCATCACACACATCATACTTTACATTCATAAAAAGAAACTCTCCATTAATATCTTTACCGTGTCATACTTTACACTCATAAAGAGAATCTTTCCATTAAAATCTTCATCACATAATATTTTACACTCATAAAGAGGATTTCCCCATTAAAATCTTCATTACATCATACTATACATCCATAAATAGAACATCTTCATTAACATCTTCATCGCGTCATACTTTACACTCATAAAGAGGATCTCTCCATTAATATCTTCATCCCGTCATTCTTTACATCCATATAAAGAAACTTTCCATTAATATCTTCATCACGTCATACTTTACACTCATAAAGAGGATCTCCCCATTAATATCTTCATCCCGTCATTCTTTACATCCATATAAAGAAACTTTCCATTAATATCTTCATCACGTCATACTTTACACTCATAAAGACGATCTCTTCATTAATATCTTCATCACGTCATTCTTTACATCCATATTAAGAAACTCTCCATTAATATCTTCATCACGTCATACTCTACATCCATAAAAAGAAACTCTCTATTAAAATCTTCATCACGTCATACTTTACACTCATAAAGAGGATCTCTCCATTAATATCTTCATCACGTCATTCTTTACATCCATATGAAGAAACTCTCCATTGATATCTTCATCACGTCATACTCTACATCCATTAAAAGGATCTCTCTTATAATATCCTCATACTTTACACCCATTAAAAGGATCTCTCCGTGAACAGTTGTAAACATAATCGAGGTTGACAATCAGGTGGCGCAAACATTGAAAGTTCCGGTTTATCAGTAAATAACCATTTGTACAGCTTCTGCTTAAGGACCCCACTGCAAGCAAAACACTGGAGAATTACACTGTAGATTGTATATGTTCAGTTTCATCCTCATTAGTGAGTTTGGTCTGTTTGAGTCAATGACCTACCGCTGGTGAGGTAGCTCAGTTGGTAAGATCTACCGTGTTGTGTTCAGACAATCAGGGTTCGGCTCTTAACCTGGCCCGCTGACTTCTATTTGTGTTTTGTCACGTTTTCTTCATCTATATTTTTATTTGGAGAAATTCCACAATGACTTGGTTTCAGATATAATTTATTAAAGCTATTGACATGTTTCCATTTAATAGAGTTTTTGTTTTGGCAGTGGCACGGAATCCTTATTACATGATAACAACGTATGGTGTACACTCATGGTCTAACACTAAGGAAGAGTACTACTGCCATTGTCAGAAAAAACACAGCTTATTTCGAATTGGAGATGGTCATGCGACTTTAAAATTGAATGTTCAGACTGCACAACATTAGACCAAACAAGAATTTAATTACTGAAAGTAGGTTGGGAAATTGTAATTGGTTTTTTTTTATTTGCGTCTTAGAATATAATTACCTCATTCTACCAATAATAGACTTATCACTATCTAAAAATTATTTCTTTTGATGATTTACCATAATTATCAAATAACAAGCATATCTATTGTCAATTTTACATCTAAATGATTGAACATTTCATGATTATAGATCATAACGAGTATAGTATTACATAGTACGTAAATGATCGAATTGTAAGTTATAATTAAAGTGATCAAATCATATCAATATTTACAGTCATGACTAACAATCAAGGAGGACAGGAGATCTTACGGAGAGAACCCGGAATCCTGAGTTTAGCGGACTTTGGTTTTAGTTAGCCTTTAGTCTGGTCAACTATATACATGTACACTTCGATCAGCAGGGAATTCGGAAACAACAGTTATTTTGTAGACCTCCATTTAAAAGAAAGCATGTTTATGTTACTTCCTTGACAGATCAGCTGCATGCAGTGATTGAAATAATTATCAAATCTTCAATGTAAACATGTGTATGGTCCTAGACAATCAGCTTTGTAGCAAACAAATTACTGAACCAATTAAGTAAATAGTGATTAGATATAATTGACTTGTGTTGCTATAATGTAAAGCGTTTGGGTTGGCCCCACTCTCCACTATTGACGTTGCCTGGGTAAGCGAGGATTGTTAAGCACTCTCACACGGTCTTCAGAACATTGATTCGCGGATTACGAGCCATGATCCGAAGACCGCAATTTATAGTCCCAGTATGTCCATGTCAGTGAAGTCATTTCATCTCCATTTCAAGAAAAATGCATTATGGTGCAAGTTAAATACCACGCGTTTAAGACTTGTGTTACATTTCGTGTAAGTCAGAATAAAACTCTAAAGGTCACCCACTTCTTGGGCTTTGAGAATATGTCTGTAGTAATGAGCTGAAATCGGTAGTTTGTGTACGGTCGGGTGAAGAGACCACGGACTTCAAGTGATAGTATGGGCTTAGTACATTGAGGTCCTAAACTGTCTTACAAAAAATAGCTAACGGAAGATGATAAAAGAGACACAGGAATAAAAAAAATGTTAAAAAATCCCATACGAGGATAGCAAGTATTTCAGTTTTGGTTCCTTCCTATTCTCTAAGCTTTAAGAAACCCAAAAGGAAAGCACGGATGCCGCAGACGATCTCACGTTAGTTACCTCATTTAAGCAAGAATGTTTTAGCATATGTTGTTATGATCCTATAGCACACATTACTGTTTATGACAAACTTAATAAGGCCCGGCATTTATTCTGAATCAATAGCATCTTTCAAACAACAACTCAATCATCGCTATAAATGAATAATTTATTTT